AGAGTAGAGGATTTGGCCGGAAGAGTGGACGAGTTAGGAACTGGTTGAAGATTTGTCGTAGAAGATGCTGGAGCAGCTGCTGTCGAAGGGGTTGCTCGAGAGTCAGGGATGATAGATGAGGCATTGTTGGTAGGGGTGGCAGTAGACAAAGTGGGCGGCATAATACTTTGAGATGTATTTGGTGGTGCAAGGACATTAGATTTAGGGTTACCGAAACTCATCATTGGAGGTACAGCTCCGTTACCGCCGATACCTAAGGGCGGAGCGAGTATAGGGGCTGCAAGAACCCCGGATGGTTTGGAATCTGGCGGACGAGACAGTCCTGATGTAGGAACGGCAAAGGAGGTTGTGGACGTTGAACCAGCTGGTGTAGGCGGGGGCGGAGGCGGAGACGGCGCGACGAGGCCACTCGGAGGAGGACTCGGTGCTGATAAGATTTTCGAGGGCGGAAGAGTTGGAGCGGCGAGGCCATTAGGTAGTGGGTGAGGCGGTGGAGGCATTGCCAAAGAAGGGCTGGCATCTTCAGTCTTGAGCATAGCAGAAGGCATGCCATCTTGTGTTGTTGAAGATGAATCTTGAGGCTTTGAAATGCAGTCATCGCCTTTGATCGGGGCAGACGTTTTTGTTTCTTTTGATTCTGTTGCTACAGGCGGTGCGGACGAAGCTGGTGCCGGTGGTTGACTTTGTGGTGGCTGTTCCTTGGTATTTGAAGCAGTGTCAACAAGAGCAGCAGTGCCATTGCCTTCCGCTTTTTGTCCTTCCACCGTAGCCGTCTTTCCCACATCTTGATCCTTCTCTTTGCCCCTCGCTTTCTCGCCCCTCTTCCTCTTCTCCTTCGCGGGCTCCTCGATCACCATATGCCTTCCCATCCATTCCCCAATACCACTCCAGAAAGTAATCACGGGTCCTTTTAGGGTTCTGTTGTGAAGAGCTGCCAATTTCGCTCGACGTTCCTCCTCGCGTTGCTTCTCGGCTTCTTCCCACCGATTCAGACTTTTGCTATTTCGTTTCTCGACAATAGCTGCCTCTCGGAGCCTCTCTTCCTGCGTCATCGGTGGTTTTTTCATCGCCTCTAGCTTAGCCGCCTTCTTCTGCATCTGAGCTAACTGTTTTATTCGGCGCTCCTCTCGCTCCACCATTTGCTGATGGAGTTGCTCCTTTGACAGGCGTGTCGTTTGACGGGACGAGGCTCGAGTCGGTAGGTCGGCGGCTGAAGGCAACCATGAAGTGCGCTCGGATTTCTTCTTTGGTCTCGGTGCCGGTCTCATGGGCGCTGATGGCGTTCTGGTCGTGGGATCGATTCGGACCTTCTTGCGGAACTTGGCGGGGATGGCTTCTTGAGCTTTTCGCTTGCGCTGAGCAGCACGACGCTCCTTTGCCTGCTTTTCCAACTCCTTCTCTCCCTCGAGATCATCGTCGTTGTTGCCATTATCATCATCGTCGTCTGAAGAGTCCATTTGCACATCGGAGGCATTCTCATCAACTTCAGAGAAGCCCTGATCATTCTCGTCTTCGGCAAAAAGTAGTTCAAGGTCGGAATCGGGCTCCTCGTTGGCAAGCATCGATTTCATTCGGTTGCCAGCAGTGGAACGGCGCTCTCGAGTCGTGGCGAGCCATTCTACCGTACCTTCGCTATTGGCCTGGCTATCGGCGTCTTTGCTGAGAATTTTGCTCTTCTCGACTTCGTCGTCGCTGGGGGTGGAGGGGAAGTCGCTAAGGCTGGACACAGAAGACATAGGGGACTCTGGTCCCCAAATAGGGATGTTTGTCGGTTCCATCGCGAATAATCAATGATTTAGGCGACTCAAGTTTATGAATATCACATGGCGCTTCCTAAACGATAACCAAAATGACGCCAATGAATATTGTGATGTTGCGGCTACACGCCTGGTGGTTGGAAGATGCAAAGTGGACGCGTTGTAGGTGGGGAGAAGTTGGATGGATATTTTTTTTTAGTTGCTGACATCACAACAGACAGTGTAATGTGATAGGTGCATTCCAGTGGCACATTCAGCAACCCTTTGCATAAAGAGGAATAAATATGTTCATTAATAACCATATCTCATGTCTAGCCTTGTAAATCTCCTAAATGTGCATTCTTCAGATGTAGATCACATATGCGCGACCTATTAAACTCCTAATCTAACGCCGTTTTGGTCAATGAACCAAGTACGAACTCCATCCTCATGGCTCTCATGAGTGTTTATGCAGAATGTTTCAAGCAATACGACCACCCATCCAGTGGTTATGTCTGTCTCTAAATCAACACGCAAGCAGGCATAAAAACAAATAAAACTGCTATCGGGGTCTAGGTGAATCTATGCATCACCTTTATTTGCAGCCAAGTTGCGTAGGCAATACCATGAACTCACGAGGCTGGTTTGAGGGGTAGTCCTGTAAATCACCTCTTACATCTCATCTGTAGCAAACTCGAGGTCTTCAATGGCCCATTCTTTGCAGACTCCGAACCAATTACGAGCAAGGCACCTCTGAGTCTCTGGCAAGGCCGTGTTCAAACTATCATCCGTTGTACCTGTAGGTGCAGCAGTAACAGGTACCTTGGTTACTTGACCAGGCTCGGCAGTTGTCGTTGCCTCTGCCTCGTCGCGGCATCCCCAGAACCTGCCAGGAGTTTCGCAAGTTGTTGTGGATGAAACCTCTGTGGTTGTAGTAGTGCTGCTCTCTGCTGTCGTTTTATCCTTGCAACCGAACCATCCAGGGGTCTTGCATGTAGACGTAGAAGATGATGTGGTTGATGTCGTCGTTGTCACCGGCGTGGTCTTGTCAAGACAACCCCACCAGCCAGGCGTTTCACAGGTTGATGTACGGGTTCGAGTGCGTGTCGTACTGGTAGTCGAGGATGAAGGTGTTGTGGTAGTCTCAGTCCCGTTGCTCTCGTACATCTTCCACTGGGCGCAGTCGCGACACTCGGGGGTCCGTTTGCACTCTGGGACACTGTCATACTTCTTGATAACGTCGTCTATAACCGAGCGAATGCGATGTGTACCGATGCCGACTCTCCACCCTTTGTCGGCGACAACGTCGTAGACACACTCATAACCGGCATGACAAGCACTCTCCATAGCATAACCACCATACGTGCATGAAGCCGTTGCACCGTTGCAGGTTCCGATGTATACGGGGTCCGCGGTGTGGCCAAAGTGGAATGTGCCTGTGTTCTCGCGCATTTGAGGGTAGTCAGCACTGGCGCCAGGAGGGACGGGTAGGCCGAGTCTGGAAGCTGGGAGAGCTTCTGGGACAGCCTCAAAGGTAACGACAGGTAAGCCGTATGTCATACCCAGCATCGAAGTCACGGCACCACCGAGCGAATGGCCCGTGAGCCAGACCTGAGCATCGGGATAAAGCTCTGTGACATTCGAATACAGTTCGCGGGCTGCGCCGTAATATCTGTTCTCGTCCCTCAGAGCCTGAACAACACATGTGTTGTTACAAGAATATGTACCGGTGGCACAGTCACAGACTTGGTGCCAAGTCCACTGGCCTTGCTGGGCGCAACAGCAACTGAAAAAGAGGTTATCGTTGACTTTGTCATTAGTAGTGGTTCCTTCTCCATCAAAGACAGCTGTCGTTGTGCCCTTCAGCCCAATAACAATCGTCGAATTGGTGTCATCAACAAAAACATGCCCACGAAGACCATCGGACTCCCATCCGAAATCGGCGCTGCGGTTCCATCGCTCTCCAACATCCTCCCAATCGGCATCAGTATCATGCTCGACGTATGCGTTGGCAGTCATAAGAGCTAGGGTGAGAACAGTGTCCTTATCCTTGATATCAGGAGATGAAACTTGATCCATGGTCCACGCTGATGCATCAAGAACAGCTGCGTATCCTCGCTGTCGCGACTCAGCCACCATGGGGTCGACAACTGACGGCCTTCGATCAGCTAAACGTTGGATTGTCTCGGGGCGACTCTTGGCTTTCAATCGAAGAATATCATATTCGTCAAAATCGTCTTCTGCAGCCAGGTAAACCCTTGACTGGTCATGGATGACATCCCGCTTCCGATGAAGGCTAGGATGGAGATGGGTACCATGATGGTATATGTGACGGAGACTGAACGTGTGCTCCGCAGGTTCAGGAATTTCGGGGGCTGATGGAAGGACTGGACCAGGAGGTAATATAATGTTATCGTGGAGCCGGTCACTGAAATCGCTGGATGCGGAAGATGGTGAAAATGCGAGGAAGGATAACAATAGAGTAGCGGTTACGCGGGCAGTCGAGGCGCATCGGAATCCCGACAAACGGGAGCGACGATTTGTTGTCATGACGGCATTAACTACCCCAGTAGCAAGATGGTGACTAAAAGTGCTGTTGATATGGATGAAAAGAAATGGAAAGAAAAGAAGATGAGATGGCGGACAGAAAGATGGACGAAGACGAAGGCAACTGCTATCAAGCCTATGATGTTATGCACGCTATCGCTGGGTGGAGACTAGGATGAAGGGGTCACATGGGGGCGACGTAGGCCGTTGGGGAAGCCTATGTGGTGCACGGGGCTCTGGGGCTCCGATGAGTAGTTGATCAACAATTACGACTAACCTATTTGTAAAGTATATTCACATGATGTTTGTTTAATCATGAAAAGATTCAAGCGGAAGTGATAACATGCCGTAGCAAGGCCTTGGCTGACCGTACCAACCTACCTCTATACTAGGTACTACAGGTATATATCTGTGAGTTAGTAGTCAGCTTGTACCACAGTAGGTGAAAGACAATAAGGAGTACGCGTCTTTAGCCTCGTAAACTGTAAAAATACCATCATGAATATCATGAATAATACTCCAAGGACCGCATAATTAGTCCATGATATAAAGTGTTTTGTCTGATTACTCCAATGTCGGAGCTCTGTTTTATCTTTGCGACAACGCATTGGAACCTCTCGTATACCTAGTAGGTAGGTACCTACAAAATAGTGCCCGGACGGACCTGCATGACTTCCGACTTCCTGCTTCCCCAGCAAAACTGGAGCTCTAGAAAAAATGGGCCTCTTAAATGGCCTTTCCGCGTGAGGACGCGTTAGAGCGCGAACCTTTTGGCTGACTGAGTGTCTTCTCAAATTTCCAAATAGTCGTCGCAACTTTACTCCGTTATCTCAGCCAACACAAAGCCGAAGACGGCATCCCCATCACTACCTCTACAACCAATTTCTTCCAAGAAAGAACTCTCGCTCAGTCGTCGCAATGACTGCTATGTACGTCGTCATCCACAAATTCCCCTTTTCCTTTCGTCTTCCTCATTCCCAGACTAGCTTGACTTTTCTTGAGCTTTCTTTGCGTGAACTCGCAACCATTACCGCAGCAACCACTAACGGAATCATCAATTTGCAGCGAGAGTTTTGATAACATCTACTTGGATCTCTCCAAGGAGAGCGGAAAGTGCAGATTTGCCGAGACCGGTTTCGGATGGAAGCCTGTTGGCGGCGGCGATACCTTCACCCTCGATCACAACAACATCGCCTCTGCGCAATGGAGTCGCGCCGCCAAGGGGTACGAGATCAAGATTGTCCAGCGTTCAAAATCAGGCATCATCCAGCTCGATGGATTCCAGCAGGAAGACTACGATCGACTTGCCAAGGTGTTCAAGAACTGGTATAGCACTGCCCTAGAGAGCAAGGAGCATGCTCTGCGCGGATGGAATTGGGGCAAGGCTGAATTCTCCAAATCCGAGCTTACCTTTAGCGTCCAAAACCGACCTGCTTTCGAGCTAGCATATTCGGAAATCGGCAACACCAACCTGGCTGGTCGAAATGAGGTTGCAGTCGAGATGGCTCTGCCAGAGTCGGGTGCTAATGCCCAACTTGGTGGCGCCCGGTCCAAGGGCTCCAAAGCTGCCGCCGGCCGGGATCAGCTTGTCGAGATGCGATTCTACATTCCCGGTGTGACGACCCGAAAAGAGGCTGAAGGAGAGGACGCTGGTAGTGATGCCGGTAACGATGAGCAAGAAAAGAACGCCGCGACTCTATTCTACGAAACTTTGATCGATAAGGCCGAGATTGGCGAGACTGCTGGCGATACTATTGCCACCTTCCTGGACGTCCTACATCTCACCCCCAGGTATGCCTTGAAAATATGCGGCCATGTCCACGTCGCAATTCTGTCATAGTTTGTACGTCTACTAATGTGTTTCAAACAGAGGACGTTTCGATATCGACATGTACGAAGCCTCTTTCCGACTTCGAGGCAAAACATACGACTACAAGATTCAATACGAGGCTATCAAGAAGTTTATGGTACTTCCTAAGCCTGATGAGGTGCACTACATGCTTGTCATGGGTCTTGATCCACCTCTGCGCCAGGGTCAAACACGATACCCATTCGTTGTAATGCAATTTAAGAAAGACGAGGAGGTCACAATTGACCTGAACCTCAACGAGGACGAGCTCAAGAGCAAGTACCAAGATAAGCTTGAGCCTCATTACGAGGAACCCCTCCATCAAGTTGTGGCCAAGATATTCCGTGGCTTGGGCAACAGGAAGATTTCATCTCCTGCCAAGGACTTTATCACGTATGTATCCTGTACTTTGTCGACTGATCCAATTGCTGACCTGTGTTTAGACACCGCAACCAATACGGCATCAAGTGCTCTATCAAGGCAAGCGAGGGTTTCCTCTACTGCCTCGAGAAAGCCTTTATGTTTGTGCCCAAGCCCGCTACATATATCGCGTATGAGCAGACTCAATCGGTCACTTTCTCGCGTGTTAGTGGAGCTGTTTCGGCACTGTCGACATTCGACATCACAGTTCTTCTCAAGAACGGCGCCGGCTCATCTCAGTTCAGCAACATTAGTCGTGAGGATCTCAAGGCTCTTGAAAGCTTCTTCAAGCTCAAGGGCCTACGAGTCAAGAACGAGATTGATGAGGATGCCAACCTCCTTGCTGCTGCCATGAACCAGCAGATGGACGATTCCGAAGACGAGGTGGCCGTCAAGGCTGATCGTGGCTCGGCTGATGAAGATGAAGAGAGTGTGGATGAAGATTTCCGCACTGACAGTGAAAGCGATGTTGCAGAAGAGTACGATAGTGCCCACGAGAGTGATGGCTCTGGCAGCGACGAAAGCAACGTAGATGAAGACGAGCAGGACAACGATGATGACGACGGGGAGGACGAAGAGGAGCGCCCTAAGAAGAAGAAGAAGACGGGCTGAACGCCCTATCTGCTCAAAGTGCCAGCGCGTTTTTAGCTGTCGACATGAGACAAAAGCAGACTAATGGGAACGGGACTGAGGAAAACTCATGGTCTTTGGGGTAGAGATATCAACGGCGTTCAGGCTAGACAGAACATTAAACTTCATTCTAGGTTCATGTAATGATAGTTTCACAAATATCGACATTTTCGTATTGGCAGACCCTTTACTTCACTTGCATGATTCATGTCCAACAGGGGTTTACGGTGAGGGCTGGTCATGGCAACATAGCACTACAGTCAACAGAGCTTGGCAATATGCTTAACGCGTGAGTATGATACGCTGGTGACAAGTAGGAGCCCGTCGTGTAGGCTGTATGCCTTTGATGTGTTGGATCATTTAGGCTGTATCCTGGGTCCTTGGGAACAACACTTTGATGCCCATCTTTCTCAGCCGCAAAGAACGTCATCTACCTATCAAAGGCATCACCCTTGTGGGTTTTCAGCTTGTCCAGAGCACCAACCTCACCATTGTTGTGTCTTGGGCGGTTAATCTGCAAGGGTGCCAGGGACTAAGTCGAAGGCAGACAACTATGTAGATTTTGCTAAAGAAAAAGCAACGTCAACTAGTCTATATATCCGGACGGCTTTTGTAGATCATTCTTCTGCACCTCTGTGCGTGTACCTAGTAGTTATACACATGCGCGCGCATCTAGGGTCTTGCTGTTTCTTGGGTGGAGATAAGTTGTTATATGTTGAATATGCTCGGCTTGGCCCCCGGCGATCAGGGGGGGGTTCCTAATCGGCGATGGCAGTTCAAATATATTCGAGAAAGCAACTACTGCAAGGCCAAGTGTGCAGAATCATGCAGGCTGGCAACTAACTGGTTTGTAACCTGGATACTGAAGACGCCTTTTATAATCTGCATTACCTATTCTGGTAAAAGTCACGAAATCCCATGTCAAAAGGGTCCATTGATTGGTACCTGAGTCAACAAAGTTGCATTTCACTCTTTTCGCAGAAGTGACGCCCTTGTCGTTTAAGGTTTGAACAAAGATCAGATCAGCCAGGGTGTAAGCGAAGTGTTGCGTTTGCCCAAGCCCAAGCTCAAAACACCGCGCGAAAAAAGAAGAAAGAGAGAAGAGGGGAAAGGGAAAATCCTGTCAAGGTTACTTCCGATGTGCTTTGCCGTATACGTATGGGTATGCAGGTATGGCAAACAACGTGGTATGTGACAGCTCATACAGACTCCGGCTCCGAGGTGGGTTTGAGGGTTGATATCATCCAGGTCAAAGCCAATTGTACATAAATGTTTCGCCCTTGCACGCACAGAGATTGCTTTGACGGCCAACAAACCATTCAGTCTGCGGTATTACTTAGGGATTCTTCTTAAGTGGGTAATACAAAAAGGCATTAAATTGGTATCGAGACTAGGTTTCATCAGGCTCAATTTCATGATCTGATGGTTTGAGGGAACATTACGGGGACGCCCTCGTCAGGGACATAAACAAGCTTTGGCGCGATCACCATACCGACTATTCGTATAGACGTCTTTTGACATTGACAGGTATGTGTCAATGCAAATGTAATCTGCAAGACGTCATTTACGAAGTGTAAGTGGTAGAGAGTTGCTTCTTGTCTTTATATTCTAGTATAAATCCTCTGTCTCGTCAAGTCTAGCATTGCTCGCTCCTCCGTTATTACCACTACTGCTTGATCGTCAGAATACTAAGATCCACAATCCCATGCGCTTACCGTATAATACAGACCTGACAAGATCGAGGTACGCGGCCTGCATCGCACCTTCCCAAATGTTATGTTCCCCGTACGGGGCAGAGGAGAGTAGAGCAGAGGAAGAGCAGGGAGGGTCTAGGCTTGCCTTCCTGGGGACTTGGGCACCTACCTTATCTGTGTCCCGCCTGGGATATGTCAAAAGGAAAGTGCGGCTCTCTTCCGGTAAAGACATCCTTCTGTTTCTGTTTCTCGCTACTGGTCAGGTAGGAGGCATGTACCCACAGCTGCCCATTGCCATGGCTGAAAATAGAGGTTGTCAATCTCTCTGCCTCCAAAGTCAAGCTGCCCTTCAGAATACCTACCTACTCAACAAGGCCGTATAAGGGCTATTCAATATCTCGATGTCCAAGTGCTAAACAAGCCACGAAAAGCCAGTTATGCAATCCCTACGTGAGATCTATGTGTCTCATAATCAGGAGAATCCCCTCCGAACAATGACACGCCCTGTCGATTGAACAATCAACTCTTGTTTCCTCCTTCGATGTCTCCGCTTTCTCTCGACTCACGGACATGAGATGAGAACACTGATACAGCCGGCGTCAATGTCGGGTACTATCAATAGGGTGTGACCATCAAAAAGAGGCAATACCGGCCGAGACCAGTGACGTCGAACAAAAGAACGATACCAGACAATGAGCCTACCTTGAACAATCACTGCCAAAATTTCAGTGCGCAAATGGGGCCAAGTTGGGTTAATACATGGGCACGGCTTTTAGTCCACAAAAAACCGTTGTCTTCCAAGTTGACTCCCAACCCAACGCCGCCCCAATACCAGAATGACATATCAACTCAACGGCTAACAACCACATTCGGCTCCATCAGTCCCTAGTTTGCCTCGAAAGGTCTTAGCTTCAGCATCCAACGTGAATCCCTTTAGCCCAGGGTCCTCCTTTCCCAGTCATGGCATACATTCTCGTTGGTTGGTACAAGCTTGTGACCCCCCTCCCCCCTGGTTATAGCCAGCCACCCCCCCGCTCCTCGGTTGCGAACCTAGGATCAGACCACCACAATGCAGACATACATACAGATTTAAGTGGTTTTCACGCGGGCTGACTTGAATCAGAGGCCGCGTACCTGGTGGCTCTGTTCCTGTCAAAATGTCAGATCAAGCAATGGTTCCATCTAGTTACAGTTATCATCTCCGTTCAGCTGGATCCGAAATAACCGGCTCGCAACACAATGCCGTGTTAACAAAGGCTCGTGATATTATCTGGTATCACTGTGGCGGTGCCTCTACCTCATTACACCAGGCATCTTGTTTCTTTGTCTAGTCACGGGTGATTTGTTCCCTGATGAACCACCTGAGGGTTGGGATACGGGCAGAAATGGGATTTGCCCGGGATACACAAGTTAACATTCTCCCCTGAAGACTTTCTTGTCAGTGGTGGTTTTTGCAGTGGCATGAGTAGCATGAACCTTATGACCAAATCCGAAGGCTCACAGCAATATGATGCAGTGTTGCGCCAGACAAGACTCGGGGCAACGCACTGACAGGGAGGTTCTATACATCTCTATGCACCTTTCCGGGTTTAACATGTGAGCAATAGGGCTTGTTGTTAAGCAAATGACCAATAAAGGCTGAACGGGCAAGGCCTTGATGTGCCGATCACTTTACAAGCAAGAGCATGAATAGCACAAAGTACCACTTGCAGTCCCGGACCTAATCCCAGCCCCAGTCTCGGTGTTCTCTTCCCCCTCCAAGGTAGCCCACCTGTTTCCCAGCCCAGCTCCAGCTTGAGCTTGCCAGAAGTTGTCCTCAGGTCCCCTTTTGGGGCGGTAAAGGCGGGGATGCTGGTCAATTCGATAGTCGAGTCATTCATTGCAATTACAATCAGGGCTTCGACTTGAATCCACACATGGCTCCTTCATCGTCCAGCATTGGCTTTCCCACGGCCACGGATACAAACCAGCCACATCCTCCTATTGGAAGCCTAATAGTTCACGTGGAGAAGGTACAAGAGCCTTGTCTTGCTTTAACACAACACCGTCAGTTTGCCCTATGTCATTTTCAACAAACCAATACTTAGCATATCCGATGCTGAGAGCAAATACGTGAGCACGCCAGAGAGTAGTCATCAAGGGCCTCGAACCACAATCTTTCCAGGCCCCGGGATAACATTGGATGTCCCCGTGACTCGTCACTCGACTCTGATAGCCTAAGGGGGAAGTGGCAGCAAACGGGGGAAAGAGAAGAAAGGGGTCGGCGACCGAGATACGAAGAGAGTCAAAGGCCATTTTGAAGACTCGACAGTCGATAGCGTGGCTGAGAAAGAAGCTGTGAGTAAATATGTGACGAGCTGAGCAAAGTCATCCAACCCAGCATGTGTTCGAACGTTAATAATGACCCGCAGCAGACACTAAGGAGCGACAGTGAGGGAATCCCGGGCTGCCGTAAAGTATTGGGAAGCAAGGCACGGTCACTCATTCGCCCATCAAGCAAGAAAGAAGCAAGGGCCTCTGCAGACATTCGATTCGTCGCTTGAGTTGATCGATTATCTCGTGGTGCCGAGAAATCTCTTCGGTGGGGTGACATTTTATCTTGTGTTCGGCGGAAGCACGAGACTCCAGCACAGAACGGCCCCTCCTTGAAAAGAACAGGGCCATCGATTATCGAGACTACCAACTGCCTGAGAATCGGCGCGGTGGCGCTAGGATTATCGAGCAGTCTCTGGTGACGTCGAAATCTGCGGCTTCCAATTATCGTATAAGCACTTCGGGTCCCTTTAAATCACCAACTTTGGTGGTGAAGCGCGGTGCCGGCCGTGGGCACAGGCCGAGTGATTCAGCAGAAGCTGTTTATCAAGACGTTCACAGATCGAAGCTCAGTCGCTCCTGGCATCCGATATCATCCAAATCCTCATACTCGAGCGACAATAAGTTGCCTCCAAAGTGGTACATCCCAACGATACCTGCAACGCTAGGCATATAGCGCAAGAACCGAACGAATACCCAAGAGACGACCAGCACCCAGGTCCTACTGCAGCCACCGATTCGAATCCTTACTATGGCAGGGGACCACACTGGAGACCAGTCATTCTATGACTTTCTCATAGAAGAGCCAGAGGTACGTTGATTGGTGTTGTTTATTGGGACAAAAATGTTTCGCTGTCCCCTTTTGCGATGTGAGAGTGAAGTGGCAAGTATCGCTAGCTCAAGATTGTTCTGTCGAGGTCAATGCTCAATAACATGGTTCATTTGCTGCAAAGCGAGTGAGACATGTCAACACCACACAGGACATCAGGCCAGTGGCGGGATCTCGACCGCACTGGCGTCCATCTTTGCTATGACCCGGGCTCGCTTAAAAAAATGGCATGAGCAATTACGCTATGGCTCGTTGTCGCGACATGCCATGGTATCACAGAAAGATATACGATTCGGACGGAGCCAATTTCTTCGCAAATGTTTCTCTGCTGGTTCGAGTGACGAAGAGCAGCCGAAAGAATGGAAGATGGAGGCGCGAGCAAGAATGACAATCTCGAGGCTGAAGAAATGGATGATTGAAGAGAAAATTGAGTTGAACAAAATTGAATCGATCGAGTCTGACGTTTGGCGTTTCCGTTGGAGTAGATGATAGCGCCGGCGCCACCCGGCCAATTCCCACATCAACAGCCCATTTCGTCGCCGAATCGTACCAGTCGCAACACGCCGCTACGGCCAGAAACGACCGAAATCGAGACCCACCACCATGCGAATCACCCGACAGCTTTACCGGTACTCGGAATGCAACTGCCGATACCAGGAACAGGAGCGGTACCTGAATCATCACGTGCCCAATCACGAGCTCATCTCAACCTCCAACTTGGCCTCGACTTACATGCGCCGTCTCATGAATCACATCTTTCTCATGGCGCTCCCCATGAGCAAGAGCACGCCCGCGAAATTCAAAGGCACGGGGCTCATTCAGCACAGAGTTCAGCGGGTTTGCCACCCATTGGATTTGCAAGTCATCTTCCTCCTGCTTCATCAGGTCCTATGTCGTTGGATTGGAACATGTACCATGTTCCCCCAAATTTGCAGCTAAATCCGAATCAGTTTAATTTCGAGGTTCCAGGTCATTTGAGTGTATCTGCGCACCCGGCACACTTAGAACATTCAACCGCAAATCCAAACTCGTTCAACTACGCACACAGCATTGTTTCACCGTCAAGCATACATCCAAACACTGCCCACTTCGACGGAGATATCCCAGGTCAGTGGGATGACTCCATAGGCCATGGTGCGACCACTCCAAAAGTGCGGACCCCCTCGCATCATGTCTCGAGCAATCCTTGGGCTGAGATGAACGAGCCCGTGGGCGACAGCAGCTTGGCCCCTGTTTCCCGGCCACGAAAACCCGCTCGAGCAAGACGGCAAAAGAAGGAGCCTCGCAAGCTCTCGGATGCTTCTCAGGGAGCAAGGAGTAGTAGCACGGGTGGAACCGCTCATTCTGTTTCTGACGCTGCCAGTCCAAGTTCTACATCCCAACAGAGCCGTGTCAGTGTTGGCTCCAAGTCCGCCTCAATGACTTCAGCAGCCTCGACAACTTCCAGCCGACAAAGCAAGCTTCGTAGTGCCTCTCGAACCTCCAAGAACAGTCGAGATAAACCAAACGACACACTCGAAGACCGTCGAACCCGAGCCTCGCATAATCTTGTTGAGAAACAATATCGAAACCGACTCAACGCCCAATTTGAATCGCTCCTACATGCTCTACCCGAACAAATACGGCACAGTGACAACGGAGGTGGTGATGGGAAAGAAGGCAACGAGTCCGACCAGGCGAACGATCCTGACCGACGAGTCAGTAAGGGCGAGGTGCTCGAAATGGCTCGCAAGCATATTCAAGCACTAGAACGTGAAAGAAGTCAGTTGGAGCTTGAGAATCTTGAACTCCACGGAAATATACGAAAACTAAAAGAATCGGGGTCTGAAAGCATGGGTACGTCTGGTCAGGAGAGTTCTGTCGAGTCTGATGTTATCAAGAAAGAGACAAAGACGAGCGACGAAGATCAAAGCGAAGATCCATAGCTCATAACGGCATCTTGGATAAGAAAAATTTGGACACAGAACAAGTTTCAAATGGCCAGACTGCGCATGGCAATGTGTTCTCAGATGTAGGCTTCCATTCCTGTTCCCAAAGGTTGCATTTCGTATCCAACGTATTCCCTCCCATGGCTATGTTTTGATTCCCATTTGATATGATTCTCTTATTTTCAAATCTCAATTGTATCATGAGGATGAATCAATAACACATCACATCTCATTCATGTCATCCGCAACCGGTCCATTAACTTATATATCACACTTGTGCTTTGGGTTTTTGATGCTCACGGCTACACAGAGAATACTGGGATCACGACTAATTGCCTTTCAAATGCTTACCTGTCTTGCCTGTTCTTTGTTCTTGCTTACATGCCCTTCTATACTTCCACTTCAACATCCTGTCTTCATACTTCCTCTCTTCACGGCATTCCCTACTCCCATCTTTCCTTTATCTCAACTCATACTATACAAAAGCTTCAACACTAGAAAGAACATAGAGATTTGGATCGAGACAGACTCACATATTCCCTCTTATACTTTGTCTTGGTATTAATGCATCAGTTTTTACTTTGGTTTTCTTCATGGTTCCATGGTGAGCCTTCACATTCACATAAGGGAATCACCGTCCAGGATTATACAGAGCACAATGGATACGAAATAAGGGGATGCGGAAAGAATTTAAGAAAGGGAAGGAACAATAGATGATGATTTCAATACTGGCTACTGGTATTGTGTTTCGAGAGGCAGCCTTATTCATGGCCATCCGAATATAATAGAACCTTTGACTGCGGTTTGAATTTCATGTTGCATTATTTTGTGATAAAGCACGTGAACTATTGCTTTCTGAGCTGATAACAATGTCTAATTATGATTCGGACATGAAGACACGAGTCAGACCTGGTGTTTGTTTCATGAGTCGATGGCAATCGGGCGTGGTGTGTTCGCATTTTCGGGTCGTGGCTCATGAGTATTATAGCATGATGTATCGCATGTCAGACAACAAGCACAGTATAACGTGATCATAACACATTAGCAGTTAAGTACGTAATAGCAATTGGTCTAAACAAAGTAGTCAAGCGAATTCAGTAAGTGCGAGGTTGATAATGGGTTGATTTTGACATTTTTTATGGTTATTTTAGTATAAATAGAGAACACACTATGGCAGATGTCTCACTTCTAGCGCCCTTTGCAGGTATAAATAGGCCATGTTGCCTTTTATTGTACAGGATAGCTTGCTTCTTTGTCGCTAGTTTTGTCTAAAAGTTCATAAATCCATCATCACTCGTCATAACTGGACACCCTATCCAGTTTGTTGTTTCCCAATGTAAGCCAGGTTTTTTTTTTTCTCTCGACTGACCCAATTGTGTTTGGCCAACTCCCAGTTGCCATTGTGTAGTATAAAAAAAACGATGAAAGAGAAAAAGAAAACAGATAAAAAAGAAAACACACCCAATGCTTTGTCTAGCTTTTTGAGTACCGCTCTAATGCCTTTGCAAAACCAAAAGTGCGCCTTGGAATGAGATGAATGCCGAAGGCGGGAAAGTCAAGGCCTTAACAAGCCAGACATTGGGGTCAAGACGCCAAGAAAATGGAATGCCTTCCGCGGCCAACTTCAAATCCATACAAAAGAAATCCTGACCATGCGATGGTTGACCCGAAAGGGTAAACGTGATGATGTTGTGTATACAAGAGTGTGAAAGCCACTCGCAGCGCGCATGCAAAAGATGTAAAAAGTGAAGAGATAGTAAAGGAAATAGACCTCTGGGGGTTGAGATCGAAACGTGAAGAAGTGTAAGTAAGAGAAAGCCTCTAGATCCGATCGCCACTACCCTTGGCATATGTGCGGGGGAAAAGAGCATATTGCCCAACAGGGGGTGCCTGCGTGCTGAGGCTTGTTGTCCTGGCGCGAGGGCGTCGGGTCTTGATGGCATCAACCGATTTGTTGACGGGTACTTCCTCCCTGACGAGGGACTCGCTCGCATGGCTCTTGTGATGAGGCTTCTTGCTAACGGGCACAGAAGGGAAGGGGGTAAGCTCAGGAACAGTGTCCTTCTCAACAGAGGCGGGAGGGGTAGTGTCTTCCTCGTCGCTGTCATCATTAGACTTGATGATCAGAGATTCACGGACGCCATCGTTTTGCTCAACCCACTTGTTGAGCGATGTGCTGCTTGTGAGCCGGGTAAGGTTGGTCCAAGTGGAGTTGGTAGAAACATGGCGTTCGCCAGTAGAGTCGGAGAGGGAGGTGGAGTTGGTAGCGGTGGTAGAGGTGCTCGCGCGTTGGGGGCACAATTGAAGAGAGTTGTGGCTAGCAGCGTTGCTAGTGTTCTCGTAGATGTGGTCATGGTCAACAATACCATGGACCACTTCATCCTCACACAGGTAGCTCTGCTTCTCGGTCTCGTTGAGGAGCATCTGCTGGTGGTAGTCGCCAGGAATGAGTAGTGAAGGCGACAAGGTAAAGCCGTATGACTCCCTAAAACTAGAGGCGCGGGAGTCATTTCGAGTATGGGTAAGCTGAGGAGGGCGACGGCCCTTTTCTCCACGGGGGAGCGAAAAGTTGTTGGTCACTGCGACCCCCATGCCTATGTTTGGGGAGGCGGTCTCGGAGGTGCTCTCAGGAGAGGCGTGGCTAACAGGGCTTAGAGCCGGCATATCAAAACGGGATGCGGAAAGCATACCGGGAGACGACTCAGCTGTGCCAACTGATGGCAACTCCCTCAGCTCATCATCTCCAAACATGTCGAGCCGGAATCCAGGTGCTTCCTCTCGTCCAGTGTCCATCGACGGCCTCTCCCATTCGTATTCGAAGTTGGCATCGGCTTCGTGCTCGTAACAGTAATCGATGTCATCTTCCCAACTCTCCATGATGGAGGGGATGTGACCTACACTGCCTTTGTAATGTCCAGCATTACGTTGGGAGGCAGCGTTCTCTGAGGTCTGGGGTCCTCTCAGCAGAGGAACCGACTGACTAGCACGAAGCGACGACCTCGTGCTAGAGTTGTTTTTCGGTGAGCGCATGGTCTCCTCCTCCTCAGGAACGTCTGGCAACGGTGGCTCGTAGTTCGTGGTAGCAGGAAGCGGCCAGGCTGCATCGTCAGGGGTGGTGATAGCATGCGAAAAGCGATGGTCGTCCACTGGCAATGGTTCCTGGTCCAGTACAGTACCAAACACATGGTTCACTGCTGGAGATCGATCCATCGTGTCCTTGGGGCTGAAAGGTCGAGGGTGTCGGAAGCCGCCGCTCGTCAAAGGACGGTCCCGGCCCGTCATCGCAAGAGTGTCGCCATCTCTTGGATGTCGGCTTGAGCTTCTCGGGGGTGGGATAGGAGCACCCAATGTAGGAGAGTGAATCTCCTCAATGGGAGGAGATCTCGGGGGTCGAATTGGCCGAGGCGGGCTGGTACGAAGCTGCTCCTGAGATCTAGCCTGCTTGATGTAGCGTCTCGGAAGGGCAGAGGCTCTTGCACTACGGGGTGATACTTGAGGTTCAGGTATATGCTCCGTGGAAGCAGAGAAGTTGGGCATGCGGAGCTCCTGTGCGGGAGTCCGAGAGGCCGAGTTGATCGCTTGGTCGCGGGGAGTGTGTGTCACATGTTGGAAGTTGAAGGGTCCAGAAATTTGAAGCCTCTTTTGGAGGGCGGCATCGTCCCGAGAAGACTTACGGCGAGCAAAGATAGTCGGCATGATTGAGTCCTTGAAAGTAGCCAAGGAGGTTTCACTGCCCACTTCAGTTGAGTAAATCGAGCTTGCTGATGAGCTTTGAGCACTGCTCTCACGGCGGCGGCCTGACTTGCTTGACTTTGCACGGCGATGAAATATGTTCTTGCCCAATACCTGGACACTGTCGGGTCGGTCTCGGGAGGAACTTCCGCTAGTAGTTGTAGATCGTTGGGATGAGTGCCGAGTGATGCTCATGTTTTCGAAACCCTGCTCCCATCCGCGCTCACTAGTCACAAATGTCGAGGATCCGGTGGATGCAGTGCGTTGACCGCGGTTGAGATGAGACGCATGTTTCATCTGCTTGCTCAATTGACGTATTCTTTCGGGAGATGGAGGGCCCTCAACAGCCGGTACCAAATACTCATCGAGATCGAGAGGTGATTGAGATGCTGGAGGGGATACATCGTAATAACTAGTCATATCGGCGCCAATGTTAGGCTGCGGGCTCAGTTTTGCTTGAGTATCCCGCCTGGAACGGTCTGACTGGTATTCTGAGTAGTAAGGCATATTTGCGGCCCACATGGTAACTCAATGCCTCCGAAAGGAGGGCGACGTCGAAGGGTGCCCTGTATGTAAACAATGACTGGCTAAGTTGTCCTATTCCGCAAGTTGTTGATGTTATGTAATGTGTTGTTATGTCAAAGCCAATAAGGAATGAAGCAAGTAAGACGAAACCTAATGAGAGACAGATACAATGAGACAGGTATGTATATAAGGTTTCAAGCAAGTACCGAAATGAGGGGTGGGAAAGGTCAATGGGAAACAAGACGAGATAGAATAGAAATAACGACGCGGATGGATGCAAGACAATGTACATATAAGATTGTCTGGGAGCGAGAGATTGATGCAATCTTGGGGCAAGGCAACTCGTACCCTGCCCAAAGATTAGACAGGCCCTAGGAACTGGGGCTAAGGAAGACTAGGGCGGTGGTAGGGGGGACCCTCGACAGGGCTCCAAGTGGGTTGGTGTGGGTTGTCCCTGGCCCGTCTCGACGGACACAAGCCCCGGGAATCTGGGGGGGTTTTCCTTCACTGCAAGGCCCTGTTGTGCTGCGCAGGGATGTTTCGATCAGGCAGAGTTGAGTGCTGGTACCGCAATGCGTACTGTGCAAGTCCCCCTTGCCGTAAACGTAACCGTAACCTCAGACGATGCTCGGCTCGCTGTAGGGCGATATGAGGTCCGTGGTGGTGCGATTGGGACACCTTGGACGTCTTGATTATCGCGCTCAGGGACAACCAAGTGGGCGCGCCTTGTTTGACCATCA